TTCAGTTTTTCGGCCTTCTTATTTTTTATTTTTTCTTTTCCGTAATATACGTGAAACACGAGGGAAAACTATGATATTGGAACATTTCAAATCTTTCCAACTATGAAAAGCAAAGATAGTTAGTCAGAACCGGCTCAAATGATCGCACTTAGCTAACACCAATCACACTCTTAACTAACACCAATCATTCCTCTTCTGAAGCTTCCTCAGAACCAATCCGATGATAGATCTAACTTCCAGAACTAAGCTAACACTGATTTATGACTATGCCAGGGGTTTTTATGTACCAGTCAGCATATTTTTGATGGTTTTTGATTGCGTGATAACGTCCATGTCGACGGTGATCGTTACTCCATCCATCGACAGCAGGTTAATCGTTCTCTTCTCCGACTGCGTGATATCCGTATCCGAAAAATTATTCTAAACCAAACAGTTTTCTGGATGCATTCGAGTTTGTTTATAGTTTTGAGATATTGTTTTAGTGGCCTGCAATGTGCCAAAAAACGCAAGCATTTCTTCCAGTATGTCCATTTCTCTCTGCCCACCTCGAGCGGCATATGGATTTACGTGGATGAAAGAGGATTAAATAAAAAAGAATGGAGAGATTGCCAGCTGCATCAGTGGTGAAAAGAAACGCAAGGCATTCCTTTCAGTAAAGCTGCTCCCATTGAAACCCCTCCTCCTCAATTCCTTCGGTAAACGAACATTTGGAATTATATAGATGATCGAAGCCAAACACAGAGAAGAGTGGAGAAATTATTGCCTGCACCAATGGTAAGAAACCCGGAGGTGAAACAACAGTTGGTTGAACTATCGGATTACGACTTCTCTAACATAATTAAGTGCCACTAGGAAGTCGGAAACAAGCCGATTGATAGATACTCGCCAACATCAACCACCACCGGCAGCCCCTTCGATGCTGACGTTTAACGTAGAGTACGGTAAACTGTGCAAATCTCACAGTCATTTTTGGTGGAGAGACCGCTTCGGCAGAATCACGCCGCGTCGTCGGACTGTGCAACTACTAAATACCGGGCAGAGCAAATACGGTTTATTTATATTACCGAAAATGTGCAAATTACACATAACAATGTAACAAACGTGTAATAAATCACGATGCAAATTCAAAACAAATTTTGCTGGACAATGCACAATAGCTAGTACATTGGCAAAAGCAGATTTCAGGATGGAGGTGGTACCAGTTTAGTCCCAAGAATGTGTCTTTACTCATTTGTCCAGTATAAATTCCATCACAAAAAGATACCCCTCATTCTTTTAAAGGTAGCAATTTAACCTCAAAAAGTCATTGCCCCTTCATCCAGTACCAATTTAGCTCTAGGCATAGGCACTCTCTTCCTCACTACTGCTAGTTTCGTTCAAAAATACGTTCAGAAACAGAACACCGAGGTAGAGGAGGAAAAGCGAGTTCACCCTAACTAACGGACACTGACGTCTCTTACATGTGTCGTGGTACCACCACCACCGCTAATGGCAGTGCTTTTTTCCCGCATATCGATAATTGTCGTTTGACTTGCTCTACGACCTTCTGGTGTACCCGGATTATGTATGCCCATTTCATGATACCAGACGAAATCGCTGACTTTCCCGGGTTGTATATTGACCGGAAGCGATTGTTTTCGGGTAAGGAACGACTGCTCCGGTGGTTTGCGACAGTGGATTTGTGGCGATATCGAGCGAGATTTATAGAACCGGGACTGAAAATTAATACTATTTTTGGAGAATTTCCTTGCGAAAAAATTTAAGCACCGTATAATCAAATTTTAACTGCAATTATGAAAACCATCAGTTGACCATGCATCATGTAATTTCGAGTATAGTAACGTAGTTTAGGAAACACTCGCTTTTT